ACTTTATCTCCAAAAAGTGGAATCGGGGTAAACTAAGCTGGAGGAGGCTTCGCGAAGAAACGGAAGCGCACGGCCAGTCACGCGCGCACTCACACTTCCATCAGTGTGCAGAGAGTGAAATCAGTGATGGAGCGAGAGAATCCGAACGAAGCTCATCTCCAACCCCCCTCTCTGGTTAAACTTCTTGGGCCTCAATTTCTTCAGCTGTAAAGGGAAACCAACGTCGATGGTGTCTGGCAATAAGACTAGAGCAAAATAGTCAGCAGAGTGCTTGACTGGAACACAAGCAAGGTCTCCAAAGATGATTTTCTGTATTTCTACTTAGAAACTAAAGTAAAGTCAAAGACACGCGCCTGTAGCAAAGGAAGAAAACAGCAGATGCCTGGTGTTTAGGACCTAGCTGGATAAGAAGGGCCCTAGCATCTCTCTGAGGTTCTGCTTCTGGGTAAAGAGACACATTCCTTCTGACCGGTTTTTTTCTAGCTCTGTATAGCAACAACCAGACCTGGATTCATTCTCCTCCCCTCTAAGAACAAGAAGAAAGATCTTCCACCAAAGGCACCACCACCACACCTTAACCCTTGCGGTGTGTTGAATCCCTGGGAAGCCAGTACGGAGTTAGGTAGTGAGAAATAAATGATTCCTACTTGCGTTCAACTCCCGAGCCGTCTGAGCTCCACACTGTGACCTGGGGTATAAATTCAGCCAGCTTCCATTCTGCCGACGTTGATTGAGATATGTGCCAGTTGGTTGCAGGGGATACAAAGATGAATACGGCAGGTCCCCTGCCCTTGAGGAGCTTGTGGTCGGGGGAGAGATTGATACTGCATAATATCGCCCCATTATTCATGTTTAAAAGCTCTGGTAAGTGTTACAGTGTGCTGTGGGAGAAGAGAGGGAGAATTACAGCGAAGCCATTGCAGATCCTCAAGCCCAGGAGTCCTCCAGAATTTTACATTTCTGTCACAACAGGTTTGCCAAGGGTGCTTAAGAAAAGGACTGGGGTTGAAAGCCCCGTTGGCTAATGAGCCCTTTTATGCTACCGAAGTATTTACAAGTGATAATGAAAAGTGGGGTGGGGGCTACCTATCTAGTCTGGATAGAGGCTTTGTCCTGAACACTTTGGTACTGCCTCTAAAGGGGGAAGCAGTAGGATGTGACCCTCTGGCTTTAGATGGCTGTCAGAGTTGCATTGTGACACTTCAGAATGATCCAAGGGGATGGGAAATCCCGCTGAGGTAAAAGGACATTCAAGAGACTTAGCTAAGTGGTAATGGAGAGGCTGAGGAGCGCACAGTGGGGCGGTCTGATTCCATCCCCTGGGCCTCACAATGACTTCCTTCCTTAGAGCACTGGCCTTTATCAGAGCCCCTATGTGGTTGATTCAGCACAGGGGACTGAAATAAAGATTTAAGCAAGCCATTCACATCAAAGAGGAAGGATTGCCTCTCAGTTCGGGGGAAGGGTACGGCAAGGACATGATTTGGATACTAACAGCAAAAACAGCAGTTCCTAGAGGCTGAGCTTTTCCTGCGAATGGCCTGGTGGGGTCCTGGTAGACACCCAATGGGACACATTCTGTTAGTAACATTGCAGGGATGAAGACTCAGAGTCTGTAAAGCCAAAGAGCTGGTCAAAGGTCACACAGCAAGTGAGCAGTGGTGCTGTGGTTGGTACCCTGAGGTCTATTTGGAGAATACCACTCAGAACAGAGAGTTTTTGAATCAAGGATGCACATATGTGCATACGAGATATAAATAGCCATAGAAAAAGAATACTGTTGCCTTGGTTCATAATGCAAAAAGAAAATCCCTTTGGTCACTTTTTTTTTTTTTTTTTTTTTTTTTGGCCCACAAACATAAGGCACTATGCCAGGCAAGGTTTTAAGCACTGTGGAAAAGCTATTATAATCCTCATGTTGATCCAGTAAGGTATCTACAATTTTTTCATCTCCTTTCACATATGTGAAATACTGGAATCTAAAACAGAGAAGTTAAGCAGTTCGCCTAATGTCACACAGCTAGCAAGTGTTAGGGCCAAGATTCAAAATCAAACAGTATTCATGCTCTTAACCTGTGCTATTCAAAGTCAAGAACTAAATAGTATTTATTAAACATTTCAAACACTGATCCCAAATAAGAAATACATTTTACATGGCAAATCACAGCACACACATATACACACAGACGCAAATAATGGTTCATGATTTGATCCTCTTTTTGTAGATGATACAGCCTGAAATTTGTATTTTTTTCTGAAAAATTAAGTATGCTAGTAGTGATTCACTAAGTGGGTTTCACACTCTCCTTTAAAACTTCTGGTTTCCAAGTATGCTTGGTCACCACACTTGTCAGTGTCTGCCTGAGAACCATGACTAAGAGGCTAAGAGCTTCCAGATCAGAACAGGGAAACTCAAAGCAGGACTGGAAATAGAAGATGGCCAGAAAGTCAGAATAACCCCCTGAAATAACCCCAAGTAGACACACCAGCACATCCTGGGATTGGCTAAACCACTGGGCCCAGGTCAGTTTACCCATCTAAATCCTGCAATTCAATTCTCCTGTCTTACTGAAGTATAAATCCCTTCTCCCGTGTCCCCAGGGTGTCCCCTCCTAGAGAATGTTTCAAAAATGCCCCCAATATGTTGGGGACTTTGAGGTCTGAGGTGAGAGGGACAGCAGTGCCCCCAACCCCCACCTCTGCATTCTCATTGCAGGTATAAGGGGGGGTGGTTAAAGACATCGTTATGACTCCTGTGAGGCAATAATACATCTTCAAGTGAAGAAACAGAGCAGCCACAAGAGAAGAGGGACAGAGCAGCCAGCATACCAGATGTATGTCCTTTGTTGTGGTTGAGCACTTGCCTCAGATTTCTGTGTCATGCACCCAAGTTGATGAAGCCATGGCCTATGGACCTGCATGGCCTCTGCTTGTCTCTGCTGCATGGACAGGGCCAGGTGAGAATGTCGACTCTGACTGGCAGGTGAGTGATGTTCTAGTACCAGTCATCACCCACTTCATCGATTCCCAGCACTGTGGCCTTTCTTCCATGCATTAGGTTTAGGGCTCAATAAAAACAGAAATCAGTTCTTTTTCTTTCTTCTATAAAATGAGATCATCATAAACTCAGAATGAACCTTTTTTTTTTTTTTCAAAATCACAGTTAATATGTTCCTAACTACTTAATGCACTGGAACTGTTAACTATCGGCTTGTCTTATGAAAGATGATGGATTAGCTACCTTTGCTGGGTTAGCTTTATACATGCTGTTGATGCTCCGCTTTGCCTTCTCCATCAGGACCAAGAGTGTGCAGTACTGAGATATAGTGAGCACTGACCAGAAGGCATTTGTTGAGGCTTCACAAATAGCACAGTGTCTTTACAACCATCCGTGGGGGGTTGGGGTGGGGGCATCTCCTTTATTTTGTGTCTGAGGCTCTAAGGAAGGAAGGGTTACAGTACCAAGTTCCAGACGACAAATCAAATAATTTCTAAATCTTGCTGGATAAAGCCTGGGAGGAAGGGTAACATGTATTATAGCCATCAGAGTCACTCACCTAGAAGGCAAGCAGGGTGGGAACCCGAGCTCTGTTAGCTAATGAAAACATACATTTGATCAACCAACTGTCTGTAATCTTAACTATTGCATTTAGATGTGTGTTAGAGGTAGAGTGTGTGCCAAAGACCACCAGGGAATTAGTGATGCTTATTCCCACCCAAAGATATGGGATTTTGCATCTTCATAGGACTGACCGAAGCCATCCAGTGACTGAACACTGGGTATCTGAAAGCTGAAGGAATGCTACAGGTGACCTTCATTTGGAAAATCAAAGAGGTGCTGTAAGGGGCAAACTGCACGGCTCCATAGAAGCCAGATAAATGTAACTAACTGTAATTGGGTCTCTCTGCACCTTGTGTTACTCTCCTGAAAACCAGCAGCTGGAATGGAGTATGCACAAGCTAAAAACAGCTGGGAAAACTGAGCTAATGCAGAAAAGAAAAGAAAAAAAGAAGCTGAAGACAGCATCCCTAGAGGCTTCTGTTCAAACGAAGTCCAACATAATGACCTACTTCCCACAGAAGACTCCCACCTTTTGTATCAGTTTTTCCAAGATGAATGCTCACATTTGGGGTTTTTGTTATGCTTTCAGAGTGAAAATGCTCTTTTATTATCACTCGCCATGTTTCAAAAAGATGTAACCAAGATCCTTTGCCTGTTGAGGCAACATAAGACAAGGGAAAAAAAAAAAAAACAATAACAACAAACCTGTAGCCATTCCTTTTTGTTCTTTGTGGTGGTTTGCTTTCAGTCAAACACTTCCATTTTCCATTTTCACTTCTTAGATCAACCTCCTTGACTTTGTCCACATTGTGGAGCAAGAAGACCCTTCTGCCACGAACTCCAACTAATTAGAAAATAAACGAGGAGCAGTGACATAGCAAGCATTTGCTTCCTCAAAGGCACAAGGCATTTGCAAATCCACGAGTGATTTTTAAGGTGTCTGCTACTGGAGGATATGTGATCTAGCTCTCTTTGCTTTCAGAGAGTGTAGTCTGCCAAACAACCATGATAGAGAACCAGAATCTAGTCTCTCAACCAAATCTGCAGAAACACACAAGTTCCCCAAAGGTTTTAAAGACACAAGAAAAGGAAGATCGGGTCCACTGGTTCTCACTACAACTTCACGGCAGACTCACCTGGGATCTTTACCAAATCCTGATGCTGAGTGCCACACCAGAGATGTTTATTTGGCTTGGGATGTGACTTCAGGATTTACAAGTTCCCTAAATGGGAAGTGATTGGCTTTTAGGGCTGAGGTAATGGAAATAGGATGTGAGCCTGGAACAACTCTTGGTGTCCAAATTTAAGAACTACCCAAAGAAAGATGGTATCAGAAGGCAGCAGGTACCAGCCTAAAGGAGATCTTTGTGGCCAAGCCTGGAAGAATTTGAGCTCCAAACAATGTTGCTGTTGGGTTTTAAATCACAGGATAAAATAAATGTCTATGAGTCCAAAGTCTAAATAATTAACCACATAGTAACTGAATGCATGAGATACTGTTCAGTGAGAACTGTTCTTCTTTTTTTCCCATTTTTTATTTCATTTTGCATTCCAACTGCAATTCTCCCACCCCCTCCACCCTTTCACCTCCCCACAACCTCCCCTCAGTCCACTCCTCCTCACAGTGAGCACTTCCATGAGGAGTTAACATAGTGTGGCACAATAGGTTGGGGGCAGGGCCAGGCACCTCTCCCATGCATTAAGACTGAGCATGGCATCCCACCATAGGGGATGGGCTCCAACAAGCTAGCTCTTGTACCAGGTTTGTATCGTGGTCCTATTGCAAGGGCCCCCTCTGATATTCCAAGCTTCACAACTATCTCCCACATACTTGAGTCCTTACCTAATATGTATGAGAATCTACATTTGATCCCCTGCCCTGTGTATATGCCTGTAATCCCAGTGCTCAGGAAGTAGAGGCAGGAAAATTTGTACTTCAAAAGATGCTTTTAGCTATGTAACAAGTTCAAGGTCAGCCTATGACACATGATGCCTATGGGGTTTTTATTTACTTATTTATTTAGAGCAGCTTCTTGTGAGTTTTTTAAAATGTATTTAGAGAAACTTCTTAAAACATAATTCCAATAAATTTTACTGGGGAAAAGAGCAATTAAAGGAATAGAAATAATATAGCAATAATGTAGAGAGGAGGGATGGATGGCAAGACTCAAAAAAAATCTATTAAACTGTTCAGGGAGAAGTGTGAGGACAACAGGATTCTCATGGATCTAATTTTGTGCAGCAAGATAGTCATTAATACAAAATGAAGGATAGTGACTTCACAGTGGAGAAAGCCAGCAGACACCAAATTAACCGTGTATAATAGTGTCACCATTCACAAAACATGTAAAATCCCTAAACCTTCGCTAGGATAGACATCATCATCTCTCTAGTGCACATAACAAATATACACAGCCTCACTCAGCATGAAAACACATGGCAAACCAAAATGAGGGTATTATAGAGAACTACTTCAAAAGTACCCAGGTCACAGAAAGGAAGAAATGTGTGAGGAACTGTCAGACCAGCTCAGAAGCTAGAAAGAAATGGGAGATCCTGGAACAGTTTTTTTTAAAAAAGTGACATTAGTGGTATTTAACCAATACAAGTTTGAGTAGACAATATCGGGACAATTTTAGTTTCCTATTTTTGGTACTTATGGTTATAATTATGTCCTTAGAGGAAGCAGGGCTAGGGATATTAGGAACTCTGTGTATTTTAGAACTTTTTGTTGAGTGTAAAATTAGTTGAAAATACATAAGTCAAAGGCAAAATTCCCTTTGTAGCCCATGCCCTCCTTTCAATGACATTTTCCTGTCTTGTCCTCACCAGGAGGCCTTTCTAGGGACAGGAATAATCATAGAAAAAGCAGTATCAGTGATACTGGCCAACATCTGTGCAGAAGAATGTGCATGGTAGGTGCCATGGGAACCACACCCTCAGAACATGAACATAATGATAGATGTCTTTGGAACCGTGCCCTGGCCATTCTGCCTTCTTTTGTAAGAATATGTATTACTGTGAATTTTTGTTGCTGTGATAAATATCTGAGCAAAAACAATTATAAAGAAAGAAGGTTTTATTTTGGCTCAAGATTTCAGAGGATTCTGCCCATGACTGACTAGCATTGTTGCTGTGCCCCTGTTGTGAAGCAGAATAGCATGGATGCAAGAGACTGTTGCAAAGCAAAATTTGAAGCAAGAGACTGTTGCAAAGCAAAATTTGAAGCTCAGGGATACTGGGAAGCCCAGAGAAAGTAACTGGAACTTTCCCCAGTGATGTCCTACTTTCCATAATTTCAGCTCATCCTGTCTACCCAAATTTTAAATTCACCAGTAGATTAAACCCTTAACAAAGGCTCTGTGACCCCATCATGTCCTCAAAGCCCCACCTCTGAACACTGCATTGGAGACCAAATCTTCAAACTTAAGAACCTTTGGTGGAGCGGTGGTACCATATGGGAGCCATAACAGCATCCCAATCTATTCTTAAGCAATTGCCTATATCCACTTGAGCATTCGTGGCCTTATTAGTCTGGGAGTGACAAGTGAAACTTGCTGACAGTATTCTGTGCTGCCAGCTCCATCCAGAGATGCAACATCCTCAGTTCTTTGCTGAGACCTTTTCGCCATCTTTGCTTCTGACTCTGTCAGACACCAACTGAACTTCCTCCTATTAGCTAAATTTCTGCCACTAATAAACAAGGAATCCTAAGAAATGTGGGTGTCCTGACCCAAATCCACTGGTTACCTCTCTAGTTGGGAATAAGCTCTGTATATGAAATTGAAAGTGTATTGTGTTGCTAAAGTTACAGTGCATTGCTGGCCTCAGTCCAGGCGCTGAGTCTATACAAATGTTAGGAAACAGTATGTCAGGTCTGAGACGGGACCCTTCTTCCTGGAGGACAGAATATTAAGAAGGACAGTCTATTGGCAAACAAAAAGACTTTTCCCAGTCCTGGGAGAAGCAGATCCTAGTATAACATGATGTTGGAATTGTCTGTCTCCCCACTCAGTGGTGAGAGTCTTGAGGGATAACCAATAGAGGATCTTACTTATCCAGCATCACACGTGTGCTAAGCTTCAGTACAATGCCTGGCACATGATATATATAGTTCATGATAAATACTTGAGTGGATTCATGTTGTTGCTGCCATGTGACACTGAACAGCTTTACTGAAAATTTATGTTTATCCAAATTGTTAGGTCAATCGGCATAAGACTTCCTACATGTTGAGGCTGATGCAGGGAAACTGGTGTTTCTTCAGTAAACTCCAGTTCAACATGCTATTGTGGAAGTTTCCTTTCACCGTTTGCCTCTTTTTATTATTATCATTTTCATTTAAAAATAATATTTTCTCATTTTACATACTAATCCCAGTTCCCACTCCCTTTCATCTTCATCCTCCTCCTTCTTCCCCCTCCTCCCTCCCACCCCACCCCCAACCACTCCTCAGAGAGGGTAAGGCTCCCCATGGGGAGATGGGGAGTCAACAAACTCTGGCACCTTACTTTGAGGCAGGAGCAAGGCCCTTTCCCCTGTATCTAGGTGAGCAAGGTATCCCTCCAAAGAGAATGGGCTCCAAAAAGCCAGTTTAAGCACTAGGGATAAATCCTGGTCCCAGACTGCCCAAGCCACACTACTGTCACCCACATTCAGAGGGCCTAGTTTGGTCCTATGCAGTTTCCCCTGCTGTCAGTCCAGAGACAGTGAGTTTCCAATAGCTCAGGTCAGCTGTTTCTGTGGATATCCTCAAACCATGATCGCAGAGAAAGTAGGTAACAAGGAGAACCCTAAGAGAGACGTACATGGTTCCCCTGGTAAGGGGAAATAGACAAGATCTCATGAAAAAAAAAATTGGGAGCATGGTGGGGGAAGGAGGATGGGAGGGGAGGGTGAAGGGAGAAAGGGAGTGGGAAGGAAAACCTGAGGGTACAGGATGGTCAAGATGGGGGAAGGACAGAGATATCTTGATTGAGGGAGTCATTATGGGGCTATCCAGAAAACTAGCACTAGGGAAATTCACAGTAATCCACCAGGATGTCTCCAGCTAAGAACCTAAGCATCAGTGGAGAGGGTACCTGAACTGGCCTTCCCCTGTATTCAAATTGAGGACTATCTTAATTATCATCATAGAATCTTCATCCAGTAACTGACAGAGGCAGATGCAGAAATCCACAGCTAAGCACTGGCCTAGCTTCCAGAGTCCATTTGAAGAGCAGGAGGAAAGGTGTCAAAGCCCTTTTGGGGACAATATTTGTCTCTTTAAACAGCCTTCTAAATGTGTCTTGCAGGCGGTTTAGAATAGGGTAGGATCCTGGAGCTCTTGAGACTAAAGCTGTAAGAACTCCCTACCAAGAAGCCGCTAACATTGACCTTCAATAGGGTTACGCCCTTTATTTGTAGAAAGTCTGATTCTTATATAAAATCCACACAGATATGGGGATATTACAGTGATTGTTTGTTTGTTTACACTTAGCACATCATAAAATCCATGGAAAGGCTTGTGGCAGAAAAGAAAATAAATGAAATGCTAGGATATTTAGCATCATGAAAGTTGGGGGCTTTGGAAGAACCAAAGACAGAGGCTCTGGAGTAAGTTTGCAGAAACAGGCCCCAAACCTCAATGCAGGGCTGGCAAAACAGGGAGAAGCTGCTGTTGATCACTCCAGAACCATGCTGCTTCTCCTCCATCTGTGCCTGCAGAATGGAGGCCCTGCACCCCTTCTGCCTCTGCACGCAATTGCTTCTCTAGCTCCCTGCATGTGCATCTGATTAGCAGAACTAAGTCAGATGACTATCCCAGAGGCAAAGGAAACTGAGAAATGAGGGGGTTTAGCATTC